AAAATGAAAATTCTGTCATTAATTACTCACCCTCATGTCGTTCCAAACCCGTAAGACCTTCGTTCATCTTCGGAACACAAATTAAGATATTTTTGATGAAATCCGAAGGCTTTCTGACCCTTCATAGACAGCAACGCAACTGAAATGTTCCCAGACCCAGAAACGTAGTAAGGACATCTGTAAAACAGTCCATGTGACATCAGTGGTTCAACCGTAATTTTATAATGGCAGAACCGTGACTTGGAGGAGAAGAATTGTTGAATAAAGTCGTTATTTTTGTTTTCTTTGCGCACGAAAAGTATTATCGGATTTCATCAAAAATATCTTAATTTGTGTTCCGAAGATGAATGGAGATCTTCTGGGTTTGGAACGACATGAGGGTGAGTAATTAATGACAGAATTTTCATTTTTGGGTGAACTATCCCTTTAAGTGAAGAATGGATCACATTTTAGCATTAATGTAGATGCCCAGATAATGATATAGGCTTTTTATAATATAAAATAACTTTTAAGTTTTACATATATGTTCACATTGTATTTACAGCCTCTACCATGTATTGAGTTATTTTGTACAAACTATTTTTAAAAATATTTTACTTCTAATTTTGTCCACCAGAGGTCTATGTTGGCTAGCTGGTTAAATCGCTTTGTCACATTTTTACTAAAATGTTACTGATATTTTCTGTCATTATTATTACTTTGATTTTGAACTGTAATTGTTTTTCTTTTAAGTATCTTTTTTTTAAATGTCATATTTTAGCCTAATATACTTAAATCTAATGTCTAATCGCACTAAAATGTCTTTTAGCTGTTTGAATCTGATCTGAATTAACATTGATCAGTGATGTTACTTCAATATCAAGTTGGTCTATTGCTAAACCAATAAATATGACTATACCACAGTAGTTGGCTTCCTAGTGTCCAATGTCCAAACCTTTTTCATTTTCATGTTCCTTTAAATAGTGATAATGATAACAACAGAAATGCATTTAGCAACTGCGTCAAGGTCAGTGGCACACTCTTAATAGAAAATGACTGTAATAACAGATAAAAACAAACGAAATTTTGTGTATAATGTTGTTTTTTATCATTAGAAAAAAAAGCAGGATTTGAGTTTATAATCTTTATTTCAGGTAATAATCTAACCTTTTCATTCAGGGCTTGGTTACAATATTTTAAAAGCTTGTAAGTAAGTGGTTTCAGCTCACTGCTTCTAGCTGAAAGCAGCAATAGCCTTGTCCAAATACCCACACTTGCAGTCTTGGCCCTCTCCGCTGCACTTCCGCGTGCGTCACTTCTGAGCCGCGCATGCGCAAAGCTGACCTCATACGTAATTCCCCTGGAACTGCTTCCGTGTACAACAGTGAGCGCAAGCTAGATTCAAGTGATTATTACGTTTTGAATATGGATATTTTTCTTACAAAAATGCATCGATTCGCTACAGGAGGCCTTTGTTCACCCCCCGGAGCCGTGTGAGACACTTTTTTTTGTGGAAGGGTTTTTTTTGTATTTCACGTCTTTTGAACCGAAGGAATGCAACACCCGCTGAGTGCAATGATAGAGCTTGAAAGATGAAAGACAATTTTTAATATAACTCCGACTGGATTCGTCTGAAAGAAGAAAGTCATATACACCTAGGATGACTTGAGGGTGAGTGAAACGCAGCCTAATTTTCATTTTTGACTGAACTAACCCTTTAAGTAATCAAGTGGTCAAGTGCAAAAACTGCAAGTGTGGGTATTTGGACAAGGCTACTGTCAACACCATATAAGGCCACTTGGCTCATACAGATGATGTCATCACCACAGTCCTGACTGGAGAATCTCCTTTGCCCTGTACAAAGTGTGAGAGAAAGAAAGTGAAGGAGGTGTGATGAAGAGGAAAGAGAAAGAAGAGAACATACATTTGTAGGTAATGCTAAAATGGACTCAACTGAAGCTTGTTTGTAAGTTGTTTCAGTGTGTGGCTTCCAGAGGATGAAAAGCTAGATGCTACTTGGTTTACTGGAAAAACACAAGCGAGAAAGAGAAGAGAAAGAAACGGGTGGGGAAGAAGAGTGAAGCATTGTAACAGCTGCCAGGGACTGTGACAGTGAGGGAACTACTTCACTTAGAGGAGTCTTCTTACCATGGGGAAGTCAGGTAAGTGCACAATCCACTTCTAAATCCCTGTCTCACTTAGCATTTGTGATGTTGTCAAATATATATTTTCTTCAGTCTCTGTCACTGCCATCCTCTGCTGTTGAATGAAGTTTTGTCAGCGCAGGTTGAGTATATGCCAGCTTTATCACGCTGTATGTGTGTGCTGGGGATTGTTAGCTACTCAATCCTTGCTTTGTTTAAGTGATAGCATCATGTAGTTGGGTTTCTGCCTTGGCAATAGTGGCAAGCACAACTGTTTGGCAACATTTGTCCAGTCTAAAAGTTGTTGCAAATAGAGCACAGGTTTTGACTGTTCAGTCTTCTTTATCAAAAATAAATTAATTATCAAAAGGACTAAAATATATTTTATATAAATTATTGTTTGCTCAAAACAATTAAATGTAAGTATTATTTTAATTTTTTAGCAGAAATACTTTTTGAAATGTTGTTATCAGAAATATAGGCCTACTGAAACATTTTAACATTTTATTCTCACAAAGGACCAAAAATCTGACTGAGGGCTGTGTAAATGTTGCATTACTGTGTAGCCAACTATAGTATGTTCAAATAAAATAGTCAAATTCACCTATATTCTCTACATTTCAATGCAGAAAAATAAATAAATAAATACATTTGCTTAAAATTAAGATATGCTTCAAGGCTTGTTTTCCCCCCTATTTTTTCCCCACTCAAATGGCATGGCGAGCCAAATGAAGGGACATCAAGGGCCCTGGTTTGGGCATCTCTGTTGTCAAACTAGTACTAGCCTTGAGTAATAAATATTTTAGACTATATGTTTGAGTTGAGCAAAGAGTAGGAAAAAATTGCAGCACTTTCTAATCTCTTTCTATTGATTCACTGTTGATATTGCAGCCTCCAGGCTTTTTTGTGAGGAGGTACTGAAGACTCATAATGAATACAGGAGAAAACATCAAGCCCCACCTTTAAAACTCAGCAGTAAACTGAGCCGTGAAGCAGCACGGTGAGATCTTTTCTTTTATATGCTTGCTCTACTCTTTGCTGTTAATTTCTTATCTTTGACATTGCTTTCATCTTTACTACAGTTTAATGCTCTTCAATGACTTGTAGATATGCTGAGAGCCTTGCTAGCACCAGGATTTTGAAGCACAGTGTTGAGTCTAGTAGAGGAAACTGTGGAGAAAATTTAGCATGGGCATCTTATGATCAAACGGGTATGAATCCTCTTCTTCTGTTTAAAAATGTCCATCTGAAACATATTTCCATGGATGTAGGAGTACAGACTGCCGCCCTCTTCTCTTTGCAACAGCTGGGACTCATTATGAATGCACTACCTCCATGTTCAGTCTAAAGTTGATTACTAGGTAGATTGGAATGTCTGGCAAGTCTGGAGTGATTTGTAATGCGTCACCAAATGTATAGTGTGTCATGTAAAGCTTCAAGTTGTACCCTGGAATCTCCAGTTGGATTTACTGTAATATTGAAATAATTAAACAACTAGATTGCAAATACACATTCTACAGAATAAGGTATTTGGGATTATTTGAATTTAAACTTCAAAATTCCATTTCACATGAGAGTCTCTGTGCATGTTTGTGTGCCGACAGGTAAAGATGTGTCAGATCGCTGGTATAATGAAGTGAACCAGTACAACTTCAACCAGCCAGGATTCTCCTCTGCAACTGGTAAGAGTATTTCCAGCAGTGGCGCTCCTTGAGATCTACTTATCTGCAATGTTTACTTCCAGTTCTTATCAAACACACCTGAACCAGCATCTTAAGGTCTTTCTTTATGTGCGGTAATGCTACTTTGTACTTCATTCACTCACAAACTGCCCAAAACCTCCCTAAAATCAGTCAAATGACCAGAAACCAGAGCAACTAAAACCTGCATACCAGATTCGCCTGTTTTAGGATGTTCTTTTTAGCAAAGAAAGAATGTAAACATCATTTATTAACCTCTTGGCTAAGTACTCAGAAAAACAAAATTGAAATCTAAATGGTTTGCAGTGCTTCAGGAAAGTAGAGTGGATGGCATATTTTAAAGTCAGCATGAACTCAAAATTTATCCTATCAGCACACATACTAGTCAATTAATGCATGCATGATAATCCTCAGAAAAATGTGTTTGTCTTTGTAATCTTTAAAATCGGAAAAGTTCCTTATATGATGATGTCAGCTTGACCGCTTGAGCAGAACGTCCTTAAACAGTACCCTCCACATCAGTATTCTGTGGGCTAGAGATAGTTTACTTAGTTTAACATTTACTTATGTATTATTTCTAATTTATTTACTTAAAACAGAAGCACTAGTGAGTGACATCCTGTCCTGTTGTGTCATCCGAAATAATTTTGCATTGAACTAAAATTTGCAGGTAGGCCTATGCTGATTTCCATTAACAGGACAGAGCACCCTTTTTATATTCATAACCCCTGTTTTATAACCAAATATAATACAAACACATACAGCAGATAAGTTTGGCCCAGACAGTGTAATACAATATTCTTCAGTATTTTTTAAAATGTGTAAGATGCGACTCATCCTATTGGAATGAAGCTTTCCAAAGCCCTCCCAGGCACAGGAAATTCCCCATAAAATTCAGCTATGAGAAATCTCTTACAGTGTGATTTCTCGCTTACAGCTGTTAACTCACCCCCTTTAGTTTTTATTCACCTCACCGGTCATCAGCTTCAGCCTGCAGGAAATGAGTAATACTAGCCACCACCTCAAGAGGGCAGAACACTTTTGATAGAGTCACAATTCTACAGCAGCTGATCCGAAATTTTTTGAAGTGACTGACTGTATAGATTGTGGATATTGTCTATACTGACTCTAAACCTTTAAATATGTTGTTGGGAATTTAGGAACGGGTGTTCCTGTAACTCAGTTGGTAGCATATGGTGTTGTCAACATCAAAACTGTGGGTTTTATCCCAGGGGGTTAAAACAAAGTGATGAAATCACCAGTAATTAGCTTTGGATAAGCATTTGCCAAATGCATAAAATGTACTTGAGTCTCTTATTCCACTCAAATGTTTCCACTCTGTCTCTCAGCTTATAAATATTTAACGGAGCACTAACACAAGCGCCACATGGTTTATGTGAGTCAAACAAGCATAAACACTTTGTGACAACCACACATCGCTGCAATGCACACCAATTAATGAAAGAATCATTGTTTTGTTCTAGGTCACTTCACTGCAATGGTGTGGAAAAGCTCGAAGAAACTTGGTGTTGGTAAAGCTGTGGCCTCAGATGGTTCTACCTTTGTAGTGGCACGTTATTTCCCTGCCGGCAACATTACCAATCAGGGCCACTTCCAGGCCAATGTCCTGCCCCCTAAAAGCTGATCCAAATGTAGCTGGACACAATGAGAACGAAGGTAGGGAGGGGAACTGAAACAGGATGGGGAACAGCTGAAATCGGAGAGACTTTTACCTGGAGGACCAAACACAGTAATTGTTGGCCTTAATACACAAACCTTACTTGAATAAAGAGCTTCTGTTTTTACATTTTTAGGCTTTTATTAACTCGAATATAAAGAGGCTTACAGTAAACTAAATGTTGAAGCTAATGCTAGTTATGCTTTCCATAAAACTAAACTTTCATTGTGGTAAGGTCATTGTGTGCCTGTTTGTGCATGGGTGATGTCAACAAAACAGTATTAGAAATGATTTTTTATGAATAAAGCAAACACGGATATAATCACATACCTCCACTAAAATCTAATGTGAATATTTCTTTTGGATGCAGTATTCATGCTGAATGTGAAAAGACGTGTGTGACCGCACAGGACATTTAAATGCATGAGATGTTGCAGAAATAAGTTTTGGTAATGTACATCCCTTTATATCATAGACTGATCATTCACCATTATTACTTTGGTCATCTTTGTATCTATGTATATTGATATGGATTAAAACTGACAGTGTTCAAATAGTCTATCTGATGTCATGATTGCATTCAAAATTGAGTAAAAATATTATCTTTGATTTGTAGTTGCACAATTGTGCACAGTCCATGTAATTTGAGCAAACAATTACAACTTTAAAACATGCTAAAAACAGGCTTCTATAATAAATTTAAGTGGAATTTAGTGCCATGTGCACTATTTATGCTTGCAAGATAAGATACATATACATATACCCCAGGGGAAAGTAAAAAAAAAAAACTTCAGGTCAGATTCAAGCCATCAGCTTTGAGGACATGAGCATTTATTTCTACAATCCTCTGATCTACCATCTGAGCCATTAAGGCAATATTAAAATTTGTTCAAAATGTATAACGATACATTTTTGTTTGTAAGGTGCATTTTTATGATTCGTAGATAATGTTGGGAAACGAACAGCTCTGGTTGTAATGGATTTATTTCAGCAGGAGTTTGGGCGGCGCAATATAGCGGCATTACTTAGGGAAGAAAACACGCAAGGGGCGGGTAAGAAGTCTTTTCCTCTTTTACATGGTCAGCTCCTGAGAATAGACACAAAAGATGAAATATAAATAGCAATCAAAGGGTTTGCTTATATTTGTGAGCCATCGCTGTGTTTACAGGAACTAAATGACTGAAAATGCCCTCACAAACATAGTAACACCTCAAAAACAAAACAAAACTTGTTTTAACAGCAATCACTTATAAAAATAAAGCTTAATAAAGGGACTAAATAGTTTTCACAGTTACAAATGCCAAAAAATAGGGTTTGGGTTAGTTTGTTTACTTGATTTAGGAACAATAAAACGTCTATGTGAGGTCCAAAACAAACAAAATACAGTACATGTAAGAGGAACTTTATTATAGTCCCGTTTTTTTTATAGGATTTTGAATTAGAGGGAACATAGTGTAAAATTAGTCATTACACTGAATGTACAAATGCTGAATGGCTAATATAAAAGCAATCACTCACCATAATGGCATTGACGATGTCATTCTTGTTGTGGCGCAGTGCACGGACTGCTTTAGCTCGAGACACGTTGGCCTGTGCCATCACCAACTCGATATCTCTCTGCTCCAGCCCACCCTCATCCAGCTTACAAACAGACAGAGAATATGGTTCATCTTAATTTAGCTGCTTTATTCATTCAAGCATATTTCTAAAAGGAAAAGGCCATCCAAAAATGGTGTCATTATTTACTGACATCATTTCATCACAGAAAAAAGAAAGACATAAAGGTTTGGAACGGGATGAAGCTGAGTCAATGATGACAGAATGTTTATTTTTTGGGTCAACTATCCTTTAAATGGAGGAAATGAAAGATTTATACCTCCTCTTCTTCCTCGCTCTCTTCTTTTATTGTCAGGCTTGGTGTGATTTCTGACGGCAGAGGTGAGGGGTCAAGAGGAACCTTAAATTTCTCTGCCGCTGCCTTGTGTACCTGTTGTGACAGGTCTTCAATCTGAGAAGAGACGGACAGAAAGCACAGATGAAGATCAATGAACAGATATAAATATTTAAATATTCATCTTGCAATTGGAAATCTGTGCCACTGTAGCCAGATTTTTGGAAGGTATCCTTGCATATGCAATAAGAAACAAAATGATGGGAAAATACTAACCTTGGCCTCTCCAAAGACTATGTAAATATCCGAGGCAGGGCTTTTGAACACATCTGGACGTGTAATAACAAAGAGAATATTCTTGGACTTCCGAATGGTAATGCGTGTCACTCCGTGGATCTGTTTCAGCCCGAGCTTTGACATCGCCTTGTAATGATAACAACCACATGGAGGAAGAGACAGTAGGTCAGGGACTCACAATACAGTGAGTCTTAAAACTGCATGAAACTGCATTTGCAGTCCTACCTTTCGTGCTTTTTTCTCACTTCGACTCTGTTTGGCTCTGCTCACTGACTCATCAGCAGGAGAGTGTGAGAGCTATGAAAAAAAGAAGATATGAAGGATAAAGAGAGCATAGTAGGACCTAACATTGTTCATACAGTAGACTCTAGACTCAAAAGTGCAAAAATATATATTTTTTTAGCAATGATGTATGCAAGTATATCTTTGTTGATGCTTCCAACTAATGCTCTGCTGCACTCAAGTAATTAATTGCTGCTTGTTCAGTTTACTTAATTTTAACATTTATACTAGCTGTCCAGTTCCACTTAAGTGTTATTTTTTTAAATCAAGATAAAAAAAAAGCATTTAGTGTTATGTTATGTGCATGTTGCTTTACTCACACTTTACACGACAAAGGTTACTTTATAAACAAAGTAGCATTAGTATGTTAACATGCACTACTGCTATGCCAACTAGTAGTTAATTGTAAGATACGCAACTGGTATAGTTTGACATGTAATTTTGAGTTTTATTCAATTCACTCAAGATCACTCATGAATCTACAGCCCACCTGTGGATTTGAGGGTCTCAGCAATGTCCCACTGGGTTCCTCTAGCTCAGGTACTGAGCCATCACTGTCTGTTTCATTACCTGAACCTACTAAAGGAAAGAAAAACAAATAAACACTAAAATTGCTTTGCTAGAGACTATAAAGAAGGTACTTGAGAAAGATGCTGATGCCTTATGGCTAAAACAGATGATGAACATACTATTGTTTTTGAAGGGGAGATCCAAGTCCTCTGGGCCTTTTGATCTGTAGCTAATTGGGTACACGTCTCGCTCTATGCTCTGTCGCTCAGCTTGCTTTGTTTTTATGAGGGAGTCTGGTCTTGGACTGAAGCAGGGGAGCATATCTCTTTCATCTGACTGATTCAGTGTTCTTTGGGCATGGGTACTGTCTGTTTGTCCAGTGGATGTTGTGGACTGGGACTGTTCTGTTCGGTGTCCCTTGCATACTACTCAAGAAAAAAAAAACACATGACATGTCTACAATTAAATACTAATGATTCCTAGGATGAAACAAACTCAACAACTAAGGAAACAAACAAAAGTTTACCTGGAGGGTTCTCACGTCTGCATGGTTTTGCTGTCATGACTGTTCTCTCACTTTCATGATCGCACGTGTCTTGAATACGAACCAAAGTTGGTGTTTGTTCCTCTGTTTCCCATGCTGCTGATTCCAAACTGGTTATTCCAGGAGTCCGGAGGGGACTTTGATAGTCAGGTTGGTTGGGTTTGTTGTCTGGAGCTGTATGTGAGAAGGCAGCAGATGTTTGGGAGATGTCATGAATGGGCTGTGACTCCTGAACGGGGTTAGAGAGATCTTCCTCCTGGACAACTGTGGATGAACATGTTGGAGAGACCCTGTCTTGTTCTGAGCTGTCCACCCTGAGGGATGAACTGCCCCCTATGTGATTGTCATTGATGTCTCTTGTGCTTTCTGTCAAACTTACTCTGCTCAAAGAACTGTCTGGAAGTTCTTTCTGCCCATCTGGCCTTGTAAGGTCTGTTGTTTGAGATACAACCACTGACTCGGTATGAACAGACTCTTTTGGATCAATATAGCTAGGGTCAGGGGGGTGAAAAATTGATTGTTCTGGTGTTTGATCAAGTTCAGTATTCTCCATTATAGAGACATCCTCTTTCTGCTGAGTTTCACCAAATTCCTCTCTCATTGAAAATATATCAAAACTTGGCGCTTGATTACCTGTATTCTCCATTTCCTTTCCTTGGCACTGGATCTTTTCATTGTCCATTGAGGCTAAATCTGCAATGTTGGTTTTAAGGGCATCAATTACCTTTGGTTCTGTGCCATGACCTGAATTAGCAATCTGTGCTGTTTTTGGTGTTGCCTCATCACTGTCAGCTTGAGAAAGACCTGATTTATGTGAATCATCATCAAGATTTTTGTTCTGCTCCAGAAATGAAACATTCTCTGTAAAATCTTGTTCTTCTCTCTTTTGACATGTTTTCGTTCCCTTGTTTCCCTTCTCATGGGAGTCTGATTTATCTATCTCCTGATCCCGGGCGTCAGTTGTAGTCTCTTGTTCAAGAAGTTGTCTGTCAGTGGTTTTAGCTTCATCAGTTACTGTTTCATTTTTGATGTGTGCTCTTAACTGAATTACTTTCTCCCCCAAAACCTCATTTGAAGACCCATCATAGGAATTTGTCTCTTTATGTGAGACAGAAATCTGTTGGAGAATTGTTAATTCTGAGGGGGTCACAATCTTTATATCAGTTGGTTTCTTTCTGAATGTGAAGGTGCCAAACGATCCTCCTTGCAAGTTGAATGTGAGCTTGTTTTCCGAGACAGAGTCAGTGTTTCTAAAGGTAATCTGTTGAGAATTTGAATGACCCTGATTTAAAACTGGACCAAGATTATCTGATTGGTTAGAAATGACTGTTTTTGTAGAAGATTCACAAAGATCAGTGTGTTCTAGGGAGATGGTTGCTGTTAACGTGACATTATCAGGTTCTTGACAAGATTTCAGATCCTGAGACTGTTCAGAAGTTATTTCATCACTTTCCTTCCTTAATGTGTCTGAAGATAAATCCTCTGGAATGTTGAAGTCTGTATTTGGAGTTTGATCTTTCCCATCTTTCCCATCATCTGAAAGCATATTCAATGTAAGG